GGCGCGAGCAGCGAGCTCCGTTCCAGCCCAGAGGCACGTATCCTCTGAGTAGACGCTGCCGCAGAAGCAGCCTGTCCCCGCTCCAGTACTCTTCGCTTTCGCTGCGGCCGCGTAGGGCTCTGGGGCTTTGGCACGAAGCTCCGCCCAGCCGACTGGGGGTAGAGGTGGCTGGGAGGAGGAAAGGACACTGCGGGATCCCCCTCTTAAAAGGGTAACAGGATGGACAGAGTAGGAACTGAGGCTGTGTAGCCAGGTGTGTTGCGTGGTTTTAGACAAAATGGACAGGTGAGGAGCTAGAATCTGCTAACATAAAAAAAGTTCTTTGGTAGCATTCGAGTTTGTTTTGATTTTTCAATAGCACATTTTTTCATCCGAACATTTGCCTAAAAAGCTTTTCAGGCTTAAGGTGCCAGAATGTGAAAGTACTTCTAAAAAGCGCAGATCCGAAAGTTCTGAGTTCTAGTAAAGAGAATTTGGGTAATTGGGTGGTGCTGTGGGCAGGCCCTTTATTGAGTCTTAAGAGGAAGGGCGAGGCAGGAAAAGCGCATTAACACACACACACACACACACACACACACATTCTGCTCCAAACAAGTGTCATACCTGTGTATTTCCCTCTTACCCTTACCCCATGTGAAATATACTGCATAGAGACACTAACCCTTCTAAAAGTAATCTGAGTCTTCAAAAAGAATTTTGTTTTCACACACGTCAACTAAGACTCTTTTCTTTGTCGTCCACAAACCAAGTTTATCCAAATAGATATGTCTGTACAATTCATGACATTAACTACATCATCTTTCTTCATTAACCACTAACTAAAAGAAGTGTGACTCACCTTGACAATTCACTCATGACACTATTGCATTATCATTTCTCCTAACTTTAAGTGTACAATTTTTATGCACTCTGTTGGTTATTACATTTAGTGGGTGCTCAAAAAATATGCATTGGATTAAACCTAATTAATACATCTGGTTTCAGATAACTTTTGACCTTGGAGAAATTATTTTTCTGTGCCTCAGTGTCTCCATCATCTGTAAAATGAGGATAATAATAGTACCTAACTCTTAGAGTTGTTCAGATGGTTAAATGAGTTTACATGTGTAAAGCACTTGAGACGGTACTAAGCAGAATGTAAAAATTTTATCTGTTAAATACTATTTTTAAGCAGGTTCAGGGACACAATACTTTTAAAATAATCTTAAAGTTGTTACTTTGAGGTAATAATCAGAGAAAATGATGTTCAGAATGTTCAGCTTTAGTAACTTTTTCAGTCCAAAGAAATACAATTTACTTTATCCAGTCCAACATTTGTTAAATTCCTGACCAATCACTCCCCTCAGTCTCGGCCCAACATTTACTTAATCAGTATTATTCCCCCAAATTAAGCATGTGACAATTTGCACTTCATACTTTTATAGCTTGAGATAAACCTAGTGCAGTGGTCGGCAAACTCATTAGTCAACAGAGCCAAATATGAACAGTACAATGATTGAAATTTCTTTTGAGAGCCAAATGTTTTAAATTTAAACTATATAGGTAGGTATATTGTTATTAACTTAATTAGGGTACTCCTAAGGCTTAGGAAGAGCCACACTCAAGGGGCCAAAGAGCCACATGTGGCTCGCGAGCCACAGTTTGCTGACCACGGACCTAGTGGAAAGTTAATATCATAATCAAATAGCACCTAGAATCCAAATAAATGGGCATAAACCCTAGGAATTGAAATGTACTTTAGATATCATAGGGGTAGGTATATGGGGCCAATAGCATGGCACTCTTATCTATTAATGATGTTAATCTCTAAGATAAAAATTAACTAGGGAAAAGAAAATGGTAGGACCAGCCAGCTCTCAGAAATAGTACAATTCCAGAAACTGTCTCAATTTGTTAGTGAAGAGCTCTCAAAATTCAATCAATATTACCTGTATGACAATCAACCATATTGTAATTTGAAGAAACAATGTGTTCAAAAGAAAAGAAATATTTCTGTAAAGTACCTACAAAAATGAAGTTTGTTAACATTCTTTCTTTCTTTTTTAAAAATAAATATTTATTGCACATCTACTGTATACCGGCCATGGGCTAAGCATTGGGGTAAAAAAATAAGACATGAATTCTGTTTTCAAAAAGTTAACGTTGATGAAACCAACAAGCAAACTTGTGATTGCCAAATAGAGTGCTACATGTATATAGTGCAAGTGCTCTGATAGAAGTATGCATAGGGCAGTAGTGGGTAATAAAAGAGAAGAGGAACCTAACCCACTGGAAAATAAGGAAAAGCTTTCCAGAGAAGGTTATACCTGTGCTGACTTTGAGAAGGTTAGCTTTTCTAGGCATAGAAGGGAAAGTATTGAAGCATGAAACTGAAAATGTTGGGTAGCAACAAACACTACAGGCTCTATAAACAATATGGTTGGATACAACCCAGAGCACAAGAGATAAAGTTGTAGACGTCCACGGAGGTCAGTTCTTGAGAGTCCTTTGGATAAAGCTAGGGAGTTTAGACTTTATCCAAAAGCAAGCAGTAATATGACCAGGGTTTAAAAGGGGAGTAATATATAATTAGATATGAATTTTAGAGATCATTATGGCTTCTCTGTATACAATAGATTGGAGGAGAAAAGAATAGAAACAGGGAGTCCAGATAGAAAGTTGTTGGCAGTGCTCCAGGTAAGGGATGAAGGTGGCCTGGATAAACAGGTAGTGGAAATGAAGATATATAGATAAATTGGGAATGTACTTTGGATGTAGAATCAATAGGACTTGTTTGGGTTATAAAAGAGAGACAAGAGTTAGGGATGTCTCTGAAGCTTTGGTTTGGAAGACTGGGTGACACTTGATTAATCAGGAAGAAGGTTTTAAATTTATGGAATGTGTAGGAGGGGGAGATGAGTCCAGCGTAGACAAATTGATTTTCAGGTATCTATGATATAACTAGGTAGATCTCTCTTGTAGGCAGTTGGATTTTATGATTACTGAACACCTGACACTGGAGAGGTATGGCTATACAGAGACAAAAGAAACAGTCCCTGCCCTCAATGAGTTCACAGTTTAGTAGGAAAGTCAGAGAGGTAAACAGGCAATAATGTACTGTGTAATAAATGTTATGACGAGAAAACATTGGATGCTATGGCAACATGGGTGTGGCTGAGTCTTTTAGAACAAGTAAAGTTAATCAAGCAAAGAGAGTAAGGGTATTCAGGCATAGGCAATAGTATATTACATAAGAACAACAGGACACATCCAGGGAACTAACATTTAGTAGTTAGGTATGGTGGGCATATAAGTTGCAAAGAGGGAACCAAGGAAAATAACACTGGTCAAGTAGATTATGCCAGAACATGAAAAGTGTAGAAAACTATGTTAAAGAGTGTGAACTCAATACACATACAAACACATTTGAGTGTGTGCATGGGTGACACACATACACAAACACACACACACACATAAAGTAAATATGGCAAAATAATTATTATTAAATCCAGATGATGGGTATATAAGTGCTCAATGTATTATTTTTGAAATTTTCTCCATATTTTAAACTTTTTGTAAGGATGAGTTTAAAATTATGAATTTATATTAAAGTATGTGGAACAAAAGAATATGATCAGATTTAGGACTAAATAGATCCTCTGGATTATATTAAGGGCAGGACAGGACACAGAGAGACTAGTGAGAAGCTAATATCCTCAGTACTATTCTGGAGGTCTTTCTCAATTGTGGAGATGGAGGTATCAGATTATTAACCATTAAAATTACCTCATGAACTCCCCTTGCTATGAATTCATCCTTACCAAGCAACCTTCTTATTAGTATTTAGCTCCTCATGTAAATATGCCTACAGGGAGATAATGTACTGATGGCAAACACTAGTATCTGGTCCACTTGGAATTATACTTCTCATTATAAATTAATCAATTAGTATTCTGGCTTATCTATTGGTATTTTGTGAATTTACTTAAGTGTGGGTCAGTCTCCAGGATCCCAGTCTCTGGTTATACTACCAATCAAAGTTCAAAGCTTACAAACCAGACTCTGTCAATGTCCTTCCACTCTATGGAGATTTGTCTGGGTAACTTTCTGGCTTTCCCCAGAGATGGGTAGCCAGCATCGAACCTCTGCTTGAACACTCCTGGTATCAGAGATTACTATCACACAAAGCATTACATCCTGAGTAATATTATACTTTTCTTGTTGGAAAGTTCATGTAAGTATCGTTTGTCTTTGTTTTGGTCCTCCCTCTTCCTCCCACCCAACTCTTCCTCCCCAGAGTTTCCATGCTATTTCCTGGCTGTATCACTACCCCATCAGGGTCATTGCTTTGAGCAGTTTCCCTGTGCCAGACAGACCTCACCTGATTCCTGGGCCTCAAACCAAATTTACCAGTCCTAGATGTATTCCCTCAGGATCCTTCTGTACCTAAGGCTAAGAACAGCTACTGCTCATTGAGCATTTATTGTGTGCTTTACATGCATCATCTCAGTTGATTCTTACAACCATTGGTCATTATCTCAAATTTCAGAAGAGGGGATTAGAGAGAATTAGCAAGTTACCTAAGATCATATAGCTTGTAATCAAATTAGGATTCTAATGCAGTTCTGACTGTAAGTATTAATAGCTGAATAGTGAGTGATTCAATACCTTGCCTCGGGAGAGTGACATTTGCACTTCAACGTTGCCTTATACCAAAGAAACAAAGTTCAAGTGAAATGTTTCTTGTATGCATTTCAG